ATTGGATACTTTGGACATTCAACACAATAAGCCTAAAAGAAGAAAAGATTCATTTAGGGTGGATTGCAAAGCAAATATTGTTTTAAAGATAATACATGGCACTGTACAGTATGTGGTTCATGATTTTACCGAGAAACATTCTCATGCTTTGTTTAGTAAGGAAACTATTCACTTATCACGTGCCAAGAGAAAACTTGATTACGCACAGGAAAGTTTTATTCACAACATGTCCAAACAAAACATTGGTGCGACAAAAGCACATAGATTTTATACTGGCATAACTGGTTGTCATTCTGATCGAGGATTGGTTTCTGACTTCAAAAATAGTACAAGAAATCTTAATTGTTTCATAGGTGGGAGGGATTCCAAATTTCTTGTTGACAAAATGAACGAAAGGAAAAAATATGTCCCAAACTTTACTTTTGAGTACAGAGTTGTCGACAAGAAGCTAAATACACTTTTTTGGGCGGACGAGATAGCTAAGTTTAACTATAATGCTTTTGGGGATGTTGTATCACTTGATGCCATGTTCAACACAAATAGGTATGTTTTTATTATTTTTTCTTAATTTATCTTCAATAAAACATGTAGTTAATTTTCCTTTATATAAAACATATTTTCTACACAGGTATAACATGGTTTTTGTTCCATTCACTAGTATAGATAACCATAAAAAATGTGTAACATTTGGCGCTGGTCTGTTGAGTAAAGAAGACTATGACTCTTACTCTTGGCTGGTTAAGGCCTTCTTGAAGACATTTACAAAACCACCTACATTGATACTATCGATCAGGATCCAACATTATCCAAAGCTATTAAAGAACTTATTCCAACGACACAACACAGACTTTGCATGTGGCATATAACTAAAAAGTTACCAAAGAATGTACAATTTAAGTCTCATACTCGTATAATAATTATACAACCACGCCAATTACATAAGAATCATACCAGTTCTTAAGAATTGGCATTCTTCTATCACAATAAAATTTGAATACAAACTATATCCTGCATAGCATTACATTTCAAAGACATTCTTATTCATACTAACACATTTTTGTATTTTAAATAGATATCAATTGAAATCTCTACCAATCCAGAGTTCCGTAATCGTTTCCATGGTTTAATATGGAATTCTAAAATTGAACCATAAGCATTTGAGGCTGGTTGGGAATGTTTGTTGAGGGGTTTCAATATTAAAAACAACAAGTGGTTGAATGCTATGTACGGGTTGCGTAGATTATGGATCCCAACATTTTTCAAGGACATACCAATGTCTGGTCTTATGCGAACTATGTCATTGTCCGAAAGCCAAAACTGGTCATTTCAAAACAATACCCTTTCTGGTTTGTATCTTGTCATTTTTATGATGTCTTTTGAGACTAATTTGGAACGACAAAGACATAATCAGATTTTCAATGATTTTAAGACTTCAAACACTTTTCCTAAAATAATCAAACATCTTCCGTATGAAGTTCATGCATCCAAAGTGTACACCCGTACCATTTTTTACCAAGTTCAGGAAGAGATTTTAAAATCTGAGGAAACCTGTTTCCAAAAGTGTGTGTCATGTGAAGATGGTGTTGACATATTTACTATATTGGAGAAAAAAAACCATTATCACTAGGCAAAATCAAAAGGAAATAGGTGATGTAACAGTGCAGGAATATCATTACGATAGAATTCTCAAAGATACTGAATTCAAGGTATATATACTTTATTATTTTATAATATTTCATTTCAGTGAAGCGAAATTTAATTACATCATCCCGAATTTTAATATTCCAATTTTTACAGGTTACACATTCAACATTAGAAGATACCTTCGTGTGCAGTTGCATGAACTTTGAACACATTGGCCTTTTGTGTAGACACATTTTTTGTGTTTTTAAATATTACAGTCGTGTTGAAATTCCATCACAGTACATATTGAAACGTTGGAGAAGGTATGTCATTCCGACAGAATTACTTAAAAGGCGATTCTCGGACTTCGGATATGACTTACATACCGACAAGTATGCCATTGAAATTTTTTTCAACTGTTGATAATTGTGTATCAAGTTTGAGTCATGATCCTGAAAAGTTACAAGCATATCTCGATGATCAGCATAAGTTGAAGAAAAAATATATAGACGATTGTCCATCAAATGAACTTCCCACCAGAGACAATTACTATAAGAACATTCTAAAAGTCACTATTCCTGATGTGGTGGACATTAAAAATCCATCAGACATTCGGAACAAAGGTTCTGGCAGTAGAGGGAAAAGATTGAAATCTAAGAAAGAAATGCTTCAACTCCAAGGATTGAAACCCAAGAGATTGTGTGCATCATGTCAACAGATGGCTAATCATGACAAGCGAAATTGTCCTCTTAAGAATACGGATAACTAGTTTGCAATGACTTTATTTTATTCTTAATTTCTTGTTTTTTTTCTTAATGAATTATTGTTTAAATTTTTCCTTTTCATTTTACATAATTTCTTGTTTTTTTGCTTAGAGAATACGGATAACTAGTTCGCAATGCCTTTAATCTATTCTTAATTTCTTATTCTTAATTTATTGTGTGCATCATATTTCAAATTATTTTTATTCATTTTACATTCGTTTACAATTATGTTTAGTTTTTCAGTTAAAGAGAAACTTACCATCATTTTAATGGAATACTAATCTAAGATGTTTCGATTATTCATCATTCTATTAGAATACACATACTAACCATTTCAACATAACATAAGATGATTCCTACTCCAAACTACCAAACATTGAAGCCTAGTACACCAAATCCAGATGCCTAGCTAATGAGGATTATAATCAAAATACAATTTACATTCTAATATTGACATAACATCATTCTAATGGAATATACGAACTACACATTTCATTCTACCTAATTCAATAAATTCTTCACATATTCCAGTAGAATATGTACAATCACCACATCATAATTACCAATAACATTAATAGAATAGCAAACCAAATTCTGAATGCCTACTATACCAAAATCGGATTCCTACTATATACATAGTTACAAAGAACTTATACTTTACATTAAAATATCAACTTAACATCATTCTAATATAATACACAAATTATAATTTTCAAATTTTCAAATTCAATACAATCATAACATATTCTAATAGAATATGTACATTCCCCACACACTATCTAACACAACGTTATCAGTTTATCACCCATCCATTTTACATTTTGTTGAAACACTAGTTACTTGTTTATTCTACCAGAAATATAACATACAAACAAAAAAGATCAGTAACTTTCAAACGATTAGAATAGTTAAACTTTTAAACACATATTATGATTAAAAACTACCATCCATATTCATCCATAAAACAAAAGTTTTTTAAATTCATAATAAAAAGTACTTAATACCAAACCCTTCAAAAAAAAACAAAAAACAAAAAACATACCAAAAAAACCAAATTCAGAATACTTAATTTAACTTCTTAATACCAAAAAATAAAAAGGCTAATGAAACCGCACTACAAATTCAACGTCGACGCCTTCCTCTTGTTTTCTTCCTTTCTGCTGCTGATTCTTGCAGAAGTAACTCTTTTTCAAGTAAATTAAGCTTTGAGAATTTAACACAATCCCTCTCTAGCATTTTTATGCACATTGAATTCGGCTTTCATCATTCTAGCCAAATACCTTGTCCTTAAATTCATAAGTGCAACTGTATCTGCATTCCCTTTTCCTGTAAAACCAGAATCCTAAAGCCCTTCACCTTCTCCCATATAACTTTCCATGTGTCTCATAAGATATAATCCACAATTTGGTCCCCGTTTCGCTACGTGCCAACGAATGTTCATCACATGTGGTTCGGCTCGAACTAAAGCTTTTACTATTGAATGATTTTGTACTGATAAGTAGTTGCACAACAGTTTCAACTGTCAAAATAAAATAAACATTTAATATAAAAAAATAATATATATATTCATTGACATACTGATTATAAATTGTTTTATTATTGTACTATTTACCAAAACCATAGGTGTTTTTCCATATACAGAGTCAACGCTTCCTTTTCGGTTCACATGATCAATTATGAAGCACTTTCCTACCCTCAGATCAAAACACACCACGTAATACATATCCACATCCACTACTGGGATGAAAACCTGTTACAAACACACATAATCTTAATATTAAATTCTCAAAAATGTGTAATAAAAAATATATCCACATAAACTAACCAGACCAACATCTTTCAAACTTGCTAACACTTTAAACTTGTTAGTGTAAACTCTCAGCAATCCATCAAACAATCTGCATGTTTCGACTCCTACACCCGATTTGTTCAACATTTCACTAGTCTGTAACAATAAGAAAAACACAAACTTCAGTATTAACCTAAATTATTTACATTGAAATTTACAAAAATATAATGTTCATTCCATACCATAAATTTTGTGTCCAAGAACAATCTAACTATTGATCCTTTGTCCCTGTACTCCTCCATCTTATTAAGGAATGCTGCCCAACAATCTATTATTCTAGAATGGATATACACATCCCTCTTAAAATGGTACACGAATCCTTGGTGTAAAACTTCACCAACTCCAATATCCCAAATCGGGTCCCTACATATTTAAATACATTAATAAACTTAATAAAATCAAATACTATATTACAATTAATGAGTATATAATATATTTTAAACTAACCCATTATTTCTTTTAGATGCAAATATTGAAGTGCACATATCAATATCCTCCTTCTTCAACTTATCACCAACTCTAATCACTCGTTCAATAAAAGGGGAATGAAATAAATTTGTAGATTTCTTGTCCCTTTTCCCATTATCATCTTCATTCGCAATATTGTTCAGCTCCTCCTCTAGATTTCTTCCTTCATTCGAATTAAATCCTACCACAACAGTTGGATTTTCTTCTTCTTCTACACGTTTACTACCTGAAAACATCATCTTTGTTTTACTTGCCATATCTATGATTTCATCCATCACACCTGCTAACTTATAAAACTAAGTCATTGTTAGATCATCATGTGTCACTTCATTTTCCATACGTGGTTCCACATAACTACATCCTTCATCTATATCCTTGCTCTTACGTACCACACCTCTAATAGGTGACAAATCTCTTTGATATTCAACAACTTCTTTTCCATGGTATGGAATATCCTTTTCATTATCATTCTCCTTAACAAAATCGTTCTCATTAAACAACTCATTTTTCTTAGTTACCCACTTTTTCAGTACTTTACTTTCAGGAAATTTTTGCAAACCATGTTTTAATGCAACTTCCATGTTACTCTTCTCTGATAGCAATTTACCATAACTGTGCTCCAATATAGCAGCAAATGCCTGCAATATTAATAATTTATTTTATGAAATCTAAAAAACTAAATTAGGTAACAAAAATTCTTTAAGAATTAATTACCTTATAATTACACAAAATGGTGTATTATAACTAATAAAACCATATTAACAATTAAAAAAAACACAATAAAAAAAAGAAAACCATAATATTGAATTCAAAACAATATTCACTCTACCTCAATGTCCCCATAAAGTTCGCATTCTTCTTCCTCTTCTTCACACCCCATTCTCTCATCATTTAGGTTACTATCTCTGAATTGCCTCCCGAACCCTCCCAACTTAATTTCTATTTCTTGTATTTGTATCAGCTTATCACCCTTAACATGTGCAATAAATGGTATCCTTTTATCCAACTTTATATTTTCATACCTCATGTTATAAACATATGACAGCTGAAATAAAATGGATACATAAAAAAAGTTATAAAACACTTCAAATTTATAACTTATAATCAAATAATCACATTTAAATTTAAAATAATCAAACCCTTACCAATAACAAAGTAATAGGGCCCGAGTAGTAGCATGTTTTGTCATCCCTTCTCCACAAATCCTTTCTAGTTAGTAGGGTGTCCAACATGTACTTACACCAATCAATCTTGGAAAAGTCCTTTACTAGAACCAACTTCTCAACCACTTTGATATTATTGGTACCACCAACCATTGAATCTATGAAGGTGGTAATGAACAGAATAAGAAAGTTCAACCTGAATATCATATTGTCTTCTACTGTACTTCTAATATGTTTCACATATGCACCATGAAACTTCTTGTCTACATATTGTGCTTTCCATTCTTCCAGATTCTCATTACCGGTTTCACAGTAAGGCATTCTACTCAGATCATCCCCTTCCATTGGTAAACCTATCATCTTATGCACCAGCTCTTTTGTTATTTCAATCACTCCATTCTCCATCACAAGTCTATTGCTTTCTGGATCGTACACGTCTAGAAGATAATAGTTTAGCAACCCTGGTACAACATCCATATCTAACTTCAACAATGAACCAAATCCCATGTCATAAACTGCTTTTTTGTGCTGTTGACAACACTTTAACGACTGCATTAATCCTACTTGGTGTCATTCTTGTAGGTAACCTTCTTGAACCCGGTGGATAGTCTCTTTCAATTTTTCTGATCTTCTCATTCACCTTCCTTACCTTCTTATTTTCATTTTTTTCATCCCCTCTAACGCAACTTGTTCATGTTTTCCTTTACATTCTCTTTTTCTTTCTCGTTCTGCCTTTTCCCCTTCTAACAGAACAGGCACCTTATCAAGTTTTCTCTTCGACATAAGTAACCTTTCTTCTATTAAAACATTTAAGGGACGAGGTTTTTTCTTCTCTGGGGTTGATCTTGATGACTGCTGACGTTTCTTCTTTTTCACACTTGTACTTGGAATTACTATTGTTTCTGCAAACACTGCATAACAAACAACATATTCAAATCATTACATTAACATTATAAAAAAGTAATCACTTGCTATTCTACTAATATTCTTAATTAAAATATAATACTTGGTAAACAGAGCATTGTAACGATGCTGAAAACTAATTAAACCAAAAACATTCTACAACATTAACCTTTACTAGAAAAATAGTTCAACAAAACACATTAATACAAACACTACAAAAAATTTCAGTAATAAACAATACTCAATTCTACATGAATTTAATAAAGAAACAAGTTCCTATACACACGTTTTTCTAAATTTAATAATGACTTTTGGCAGAATGCAATGTAATAATTTGAGTAGTTCACCAAACGAGATGAACACAAACTCTACAGCTTTAACCTTTATCTAAAAAATAATTTACCAAAACACATGAATACAAACACTACAAAAAAATTCATTAACAAACAATACAAATTAATATATAGGAATTTAATAATGAAACAAGTTCCTATAAACAAGTGTTCTGAATTAAATATCATCTTTGGAGAACAAACATACAAATTCTACAAGAAAAAGTTTACATCCATAAGATATGAAACATATATCATGATTATAAACATAAAAAATCACTTTCAGTTATTGATACTAACATTATGAAGGAGTGTATCATACCATTGAAACTATAATACTATTAGAACTTCATACCACCACAAAACCCACATAAAATCTAACAGAGTAACAAACATTCCATTCGAATCTCACTGAATACATTCGAATCTTACTGAATCCATAAGAACAATATCCCAATAGATGTTTCATATACCAGAATAACAAATTTAACAACACACATGACATCAAATGGAACCCTATCGATTTAAAGCAGTTTTTGCCGTGTTCGTGTAAACTACACACAAGACTACAATACTATTATAACTTCATACCACCACAAAACCCACATTAAATGTATACTACATTCCATTCGAATCTCACTGAATCTATTCGAATCTAACTGAATACATAAGAACAATATTCCAATATATGTTTCATACAACAGAAAAACAATTTTAACAACACAAATGACATCAAAAGGAACCCTATCGATTTAACACTAATATCTCACCGAAAACCCCTATGACAAAACCCTCAAGTATTCGTAAACAAATTTTTTTAAAAATTCTCATTCTTTTTTCAAAAAGCTTAATACTTGGAGTTGGGGAAACAAAATCGTCATCATCGTCTAGAATTAAAGCATTTTTTGTCGTGTTCGTGAACTTAGACTTGAATGAAGTCGACCTTGTTGCTCTCATTCTTCTAGAAACTGTATCACAAACAAACCCTATCGATCGTTTTTGAAAAAACAAGTTTCATATAAAAAAGGATTAACAAATGTAATACCTTTTAGGAAATGGATTCTTCTTTCTTAAGTATAATCAATCGTAAGAAACTTTGAACTATGATAAGACGAAGGTAGCTTCTGCTTCCGTTAATTTGGGGATTCTCAAAATCTATTACAAAATAATCTATATATTTCCTAATTAGATCTCATTCGTCGCACCTTGGTACGTATTATTGATATGAAAAAACATAATACTTGTACTTTTTGACTATTTTTCTCTAACATCATAAACATAAGAGAAACTAAATATCATTCTACTTTTCTTCATATATATATCTTCCTATCCATTTGAAATGATGAGAAGTGTATTAAAATATTATTAATTTTATCCAAATATGACACATGTCACAATTTCATTGGGTAGAAAGATAAGTAGGAACAAAAGGTAGGAGGTTATTTAATTATGGAACCTAGTTAACTTTTTGCAATGACATACACAACTCGCCTTACATGATGGGATTGTATTTTGAAGAATTTAAGAAAATTGATAAGATGTTTTAAAATAATAAAAGCAAATGTAACGTTTTATCTTCTTGAGATGATGGTTTTGTATGGTATATGTATATCTTTGTAAAAATGACTTACAAGGGTAATCATCTTTATTGTTTTGTTCACATTTAGGTAATTTTTTATTTTTGTACACATTTGACCATTTAACTTGTTATATATGTTCACATATTGCCATTGTCACCGGTTATAAAAGGTGGCAATGGTAATATGTGAACAAATTAACAAGTTAAATGGTTAAATATGTGGAAAAAAAACTGTCTAAATGTGAACAAAAACAAAAAGTTAATTACTTTAATAAATCATTTTCCTCACTTTTAATAGCGATTTTATATTTCATATTTGTTGTATTATTTTTTTCAAACGTTATTTTTAAAATATCCATAATTTCCTAAATATTAATTAAATATTAATCAACTTTAAACTATACTTTTTAATTAATAAATCTGTTTTTGTTTTGTGAAATATTTTATATAGCCTCTTATAATTTTTCTTTTGTTTTTAAGCATATACAATATTTTTAAAGTAAATAGTATCTAACAATAAAATTAAATAAATTAAATATATAACAATAAGTATGGAGAGTCTTTTAAAAATATAAAAAGAAAATATTACTTAGCAAATAAAAAAAAATCTATATAACGTAAATGTTTTAAAATTATTCCAACTTTTTAATACTTTTTAATTAGAATTTTATAAACTTTTAATTTTTTAATACAACGTTTTAAACTAATATTTAACGAAAGTATTTTAAAATGTTATAAAAAATAGAGTAACACACGAATGGTCCCAATGGTTTGGGGTAATTTACGTGTTTGGTCCATAACTTATTTTTTTTTAACTCGAAAGGTCCTTACTATTTGTTTTTGTTACACGTTTGGTCCCTACTATTTGTTTTTGTTACACGCTTGGTCCATGTCTTACCTAAAAAGAGTATTATTTAAATAGAGAAAAATGGTGGCGTAGGTAAGGTAAGGTGAGAAGGGTGGGGTTGTGGTGTATTTATTTAAATAAATTGTAAATCAAGGGAAAAATAGTCTTTTTAGGTAAGACTTGGACCAAACGCGTAACAAAAACAAACAGTAGGGACCTTCCGAGTTAAAAAAATAAGTTAGAGACCAAACGTGCAAATTACCCTAAACCATAGGGACCATTTGTGTAATTTACTCTAAAAAAATATTACATTGTCATACAAAATCTGTGAAACACTTTAAAAACATTGTAAAAGAGAGTTTAGAAATAAAAGTATGAAAGTTATAAAAAAATTGTATAAAAATGTAAAAAAAAAAACAAGTTAAAAACTTGTAAGATAAGTTTAAAACATTTATAAAATATTTGGTTTAAAAGCACTTGTATTAAAATTATATGAAAGTATAAAAATAGTTTTAAAAAAAGATTTATATGCACAGTTTAAAACATTGTATTAGAAAAACCTATAGGGAAAAAATATCATAAAAAATATTGTAAGAAATTATAAAAATTCTTAAGAAATTTGTAAAAAAAAATTGTTCATATTTAGACAACTTTCTTTTTTTTGAACACATTTGACAATTTAACTTGTTAAATGTGTTCACATATTACCATTTAACTTGTCACCTGTTAAATGTGTTCACATTGGTAATATATGAACACATTTAACAAGTTAAATGGTCAAATGTGTATAAAAAAATGAAGTTACCTAAATGTGAACAAGACGAAAAGGTACTTACCCTCGCAAGTCATTTTCCCTATATCTTTTCTATTTAACTCTTCGTAAACATCAAAACCATGGTGCTGACCCTATCTTTGCGTCTTAATAGTAAATCTCACTGAACATAAACAATGTGTAATCAATGATTCTTAGTTTTTTATAAAATGAATTTAGTTTTAATTACATATATAATATATTAGAGATACAAAAAAGTTCATTATAGTTAGGTTCAGTCCCAATGGTTATTCGGATATCGGGCATGATTTTGATCATAACGTTTGATCTTAACAACCCTAACTGTTATTCGGATATCGGGCATGATTTTGATCTTAACGTTTGAACTTAACAACCCTAACTGGACCACAACAAAACAATATAAAATTTATTGTATGAAATAAGTTTGAAAACTCAATGATTTTTTTAAAAAGACTGAGAAAAATATATCTTAATTTGAAACCAACTTAATGTATCGGTTATTTTATTGCTCTCCTTTTCCTTTTGAACGGCGGAGATAATATTAACGAGCTAGCAATGCGCTAGAAGCCTAGAAACCATTACAAAGTGCATAAATTAGTAGGAGAAATGCACCAGTCAAACCAACCTAACAAATTAAAACTTGCTCTATGTTTTAACCGGTCAAAAGACAAAATTTACACATTATCCGCCACCTCTCTTCTTCTTGAAAATAAGATAATTTCTAGCTTTCCATAAGCACCACGGAACAGAGTATAACAATGACAGAAATAACTTGCGTATCCTCTTATCCCCCATCAAAGTATTAGCTATCAAAATCAAAGACGAAAAGCAATTTGGAGCAACATTAATCATACCTGGAGCACAACCATTGCCACACCCTAGGAACAAATCACACTTAAAGAACATATGATCAACATCATCAATGTCCCTCAAGCAGTGCTGGCATAAAACATAATCAATGTGAACTCTCCTCCGAGAGAGAGTAATCGCCAAAGGGATCCTATTAAGCATAAGCCTCCAAACAAAACAATTTACTTTTAAAGAAACTCAACTAATCCAATCAAAAGTACTCGAGACTCCCCCCATATACAATCTCCATCATGCACATCCTCAAGGAATGAGTCAAGAAATTCCCATTAGTAGTACATGCCCAGCTTCGGGAATTAGAGACAGAAGATAAGGAAATATTTCCAAATTTGCCCTTTAGCTCAAATAAAGAAACCGACTCCCTCCCCTTTTTAGGTTGCCGACTCTAGCCACAAACCAACTCCACACTCTCATCAGACTCATTTCTAGATAGCCTATCCATAACTCTACGGTTCTTGTTGGATTTAATTTGATACAACTACAGATATACATCCTTAAGAACAAGACCCTCCATACATCTATCTTTTCAGGAAAAAGGTATCATTACCCAACCATATCTTCCTCCTACCAAGTGAATTTAGGCTAACACTCCACTCCTCCAAATCAGTTTTAATGTTAGCAACAGAATACCACACACCAGGAAGATAAACGTTAGCAATAAGCTTCCCGTCAATGCCATTTATCTTGTGTCATACTTTAATGCACAAATGACCAAAGACTATTTCTATATGTTTTTAGCTTGCAAACCCACTTATCTAAGAGATGGTAGGCCACCAACCACATCATCCTATTTCTATGGCTCTCTCTACTTGATTGATTATTTTCAGTTTGTCACCTTATTCTAGGCCCTATACCTATTACTTATGTCAACGCTTCTTATGACTATTGAATGTTTATAATTTCAGTATTAATTTACTTTATACTTTGGAAAACAAAGATCTGAAGCGTTGTATGATCTTTTCAAACAAATAGTAGAAAATAAGCAAGTGTTTGGTATGATGAAATCAATAGAGGAATGGAACTGATGATTCCGTTTTAATGAAAAAATAATATGCTTTGTTTGATGAAATGAAAATGATCATTCCTACATGCCCACCAAAACCAAACATGATCATGTAATATAATTAATTAACCATTTTATCTCATTGCCTATTTCATTACATTCTTTTTGCCATTCTGTTCTATCCTGTTATTACAATATACCATGATAATAGTTCCTAGATAATCTAGAACAAAAGGGATTTTGGTTCAACATACTATGTATAAACATGGCCCAAAACTATTGAGGAATTTATTTTCTTGATTCAAAATAATGAATGTAAAAATTACAAATAAAATGAGGCCATGGGTTGTATACTTAGCTATGAATTATGGTTTATATAATACAAAGAACCTAAATAATGAATACATAATAGATACATACTAATTCCCCCAGCAGTTTGATTGGGAGGGTGGAAGATGTAACGCCTGTGTTTCTGGGCTAGTCATTAATGTTGATGTAACAGTCTAGGTTAACCTTTGTAACTCATTTTGAAATAATAAGAATGTATTATTTGAGTATTATGTGTTTTATGCTTAATTGTGTGGCTTAATTGAATTAAGAATAAAGATAAGCGTAAAAATAGAATGTTAGATAAAACCGATATCGATACATGAAGACGTAGTGGTCGTGACAAGGATTTCGAATATGTAAAGAATGCCGAAATCCGAGTTATAACGAAGAAGTTATGACCTGTCGAAGTTTCGTGACAGAACCGGTACGACACTGTGTGACGTAAATAGTGAATTTACGATAGAGCGATATTTAGCCTTAGTGATCCAAACGAAAGTCGTAGAATACATTAAACCGAGAGCGTGCATAAAAAGAACGT